ACAGTACTGTGTAAAACAGGCACATAATTATTTTAGTTTTAAATCTTTTTATTTCAGATAAAGCATGCTGCTATATACAGAAACAAAAATGTGGGTCAAAGCAAGAGCAATACAGAATGGGCAACATATTCCTTAAAACTTACAAGATGCTTTTAAAAACTTCAGTGCACCAGCAGTACTATATATTCTTCTCACTCCTAAATCACCTCTAGCAAAATGTCATTTCCTCACACCTGCACAACCACAGCTACCTCTAGCTTTCATATATAGCCAAATTCAGGCTTCCAACAGAAAACTTACAGCAATGGTTTCAGCAAATGACTTCTACCAGTGTAATATATTGAAGAAATACAACTTCACATTGCTAATATCTTATTCAACTATTATTGCATTGTTCAACTATTATATGCATCATTCCACTATGCAAACTAAGTATGTTGTACATTTAGCAAAGTCTAGGCCAGGCTCAATCAGTTTGCTGTACATTTAGCAAAGTCTAGGCCAGGCTCAATCAGTTTTCCTTTTCATCTTTCTTTCTCCTACTTAATTACCTTTACAGCAGTAAAACTCAGTAAAAGTCTCATTCCTCTTCCTCCTAAAGAGATACTGTCAGTAACTTCCCTCATTTTCTTCTAGGATTAAAATCAAGAGAGTACAATAGTGATGTTTTCCTGTATACTGAAGTTACATGTGATGTAGTAAAGGACAAAAGCTAATCTACTTTGTAATGAAGAACATGAACCAGGTTGTATCATTATTTTTACTTTTGGTGACAGTGAATGGGTACCAGGCTAACAACAGAAATCTACCAAAGACAGGCACTCAGAGAAGGGCCCTAGCAGCGAGTCTTCCCTGTGTGTGTGATGCTCAGGACAGCAGTTAATTTTTTACTGTAATTCTCTGTCTCATGTATTTGCCTGCTAAATGTGAGATTTTAACTTTTAACATTAAGGATTTGCGCCGATAGGCCGTGATGCCAGTTGCGCAATTTGGCAAAGCGTGGGCTGTTACGTTCCGTTTCAAACCTTTCCCTGTGGCATGAAGAGAGAGAGAGACAGAGGGAGGGAGAGAAAGACAGAGACAGAGAGAGAGACACAGAGAAGAAAGAAAGGAGGGAGAAAGAAAGGGGTTAGGGACCATGACTACCACTCCCCTGCCTTATAACTAGGGCAACGGCAATTTATTTGGATTTTTTTCCCCCTCAGCTTTCAAACCAGCACAAAGAAGGCTGGGTGATCCTTGTTGGACCATGTATGAAAGGTTTTGCTGTTCATTTCTGGGAAGTGACTTGGTAGGACTTCATACTCTTTGACTTGTGCTTAGTGTTACAGGGCTGCTTTTGCTAGAAATGCATTGTAATCCCATTGTTTTCCTTCCAGCAGATTCTCTTGGCTTTTCCTTCCCTCCCTCCCTCCCTCCCTCCCCCCTAACTGAGCAGTCAGTGAAAGTTAACTCCAAACAAAAGCAAAATTAATGCAAATATTTTCCATTCTGTAATACCTAAGTCAGCCTATATATATATCCTGTTGTCCTTCCTGTAAGGACCATCAGCCACAGGTTTCAGCAGTACTTTTCTATAGATTTTCTCAGCATAAGTGAGTATAAGTGTTGACATTTGCATAAATATTTCTAGTCATTTGCATCAAAAAGTAGAATAACATGAGATTTTCACAGTCCTGTGAATTTTTGGCCACCTCCTGCGAACACCCCTAGCTACCTTTGACTACAGACCGGGGCGCTTGAGCAAGTTGTAAGCAATGTTCAGCAGCTCTCAGAATTTATTATTTTCTAGATGTTCTCTAGTTCAAATCCAAATTTTGTAAATAAAAAGGGGAAGGAGAAGGATAGGGGATGAGAGTGCAGTCAAGGAGAAGTATATCAAACAGAATGGAAAATAAAACGTTCTTGTTATTTGCAAAATGTATTTGACTCATTGCAAACAAGGTGATTTTCCCCTCGTTATTTACACCCAAAATGCAAGACAATTGTGTTAATGCAGCAGAATTTGAGAGTGAAACCAGTCAATCAGAACTGTACAGACTGGGCTGGTTTTACTCTTCAGGCTGAATAAAGCACAAAACAATAAACAGAGCAAATGCCAACAAATTCACTGACATTTCTAAATCGTCTGTTCCTGATAACACAGTGTCATGCAAGTAACACTCCTCAAGGAGTCTTGATATAAGGTTCTCAAACTATCTTTTATGCTTTTCAGTATTCCTAGCTGAAATGCTGGAACTTCACAATGGCATTATTTCAAGTTACATTGGAGCATACTAGCTACAGAAACATCTGTTTGTCTTGAAATAGATATCGTCTTTCCAGGAAATACTGCGTAACAATCATCACAACAGCAATGGGAAGTTTTCATGGCAAGTTATAATCTTATGTGTACCTTCAGAATAGCAGTGGCATAAGCAAGGGACAGTCATGCAACGCACTCATTAATATCAACCGAAAGGAATATTCTGCTACCTGGAAATTCTCAAACTTCATGACATATGCTCTGAACAGAACCCATGAAGTTAGAAGCCGCAATCTAGAAGTGACTATTATGTCTATCAGCTCTGCCAAAAATAAGCTACATGGTTGGTTTTGGCGGTGTTTCCTTCCCCCTTCCAAGTGTTTGGAAGAAACCTGATCACTATTTCACACGGTTCTTGCTGACTACACTGAAGAGCAAGAGAAAGCACCAGAGAGACCGCTTGCAGCATGCTCCTACACCAAAACTCCCCACACTCCAAAATCTCTTAGCAGTTTCAGTTTTGGAATATGAAGGATTTTTCCAGGACGCCAGCACAGCACAGCATGGGATTAATGCAACACTGAATCTGACAAGACTCAGGTTCCACAGTTCCATGGAAACCTTTTGCTTTCAGGAGCCCAAGAAGCCTTCCAGGTGATCCCAAACTGTGGGCATGGTGAAAACTGCAGTTGTACAGGCTGTCTGGAGGAAATACCAAAGAGGAGTTTCTACTTCATTATTGTGCTAGAAGAGTGGAGTTAGAGTATGGATTCTGTGCATCTGACGTAGGTCCTTCCATCTTTTACAAAATCAAAAGTGGCAGGGGCCTCACCAAAAGATTAAACAGAAGGGGTCCAATAGGCCCAAGAGAGTAGCATGTGACAGATGCACACGTGACCAGGGCTGTTGCTACCAAATCTGCAGTGGAGCATGTGCAACGTTTGAGGGAGGTATCAAGCCACCAAGATGGGGGAAAGCACTATCAGGTAGGAAAGGAGACCCCATTTCATTCCTTGCACCAGAGCTCATGCCAATTGCACTCTACTCATAGAATCACCTAGTATATATTTGCTCCTGCTTCTGCTGAGGCAGAATGAATGCCTTTAAACCTCTTCAGGTAATACAGCTGTGCCTAAATATACTCATAACCATAACTGTTCTTGTGAAAAAAAGGGTGTTACACCTCAAAACGGCAGAAAACGTGCAAAGCACAGAGGATATAGTCATGTACTTTTAAGTTACACTGAATAGAAAGTGCAATTTACACATGTTGATGTGTTACTAGACAATTATTTTCAACACGCCTGATACCATGTGACTTTCCAATATCTAGTATTTTCCAAAGCCACAGACTACTGCTAGAAAGATCATTCCTTTAAAACAACCTGTTACTCTCAGGGGTGTACGGAGGACTGTTAAGTTCAGCACAGCACTTTAAATCCCATCATAATAAGGATCTGGACATGTGCTATTACATCAAAACAGATAACGCACAATACATTAAATAAGACTTAGGCTTACACATTTGGGACAAGAAATAAATCCATGAGGGATATAATGTCAAGCCTGCTGTTCAGGCACCTAGCCATGAACTTTGGTGAATTGCAATGGAAGGTTTATAGCAAACATAAACTGAAAGTATACTGATTGTGTTTTCACAGGGAAGACAGACTTTTTTCTGACTGATTTAACATTTGTAACTTGCACTGTGATCAAAAGCTCAAAACCTTTACAGAAGCCACATGGCAGTAAAAATAATAAAAATAGAAAAAAGGAAAAGAAGAGGAAATGGATCGAGTATCAAACACATCACAAACCCAGCCAGCGGCTTAGAGCAGCTAACGTGATACAAGGATTTGAAGTATGCAAACAGAAAATCAGGCTTGCATGCAGGATGCTCTGATTCGACTGCAGCTTTTAAGCTCAACATAAGAATCTCTAGTAAATCTATTTCACAGAATCACAGAATGTTAGGGATTGGAAGGCACCTCAAAGGATCATCTAGTCCAATCCCCCTGCCGAAGCAGGACCACCTAGATCAGATCACACAAGAATGTGTCCAGGCAGGTTTTGAACATCTCCCGAGGAGACTCCACAACCTCTCTGGGCAGCCTGTTCCAAGGATGATAAATCCTTAATTCCTTATTATACCTCTGAACATACCCACTTCTTCAGTGGTTTTGGTAGATCACACAAAACAAATGCATTTATCCACTAGCAAAAGCAGTCCTGTGCTTCCGTATTCTACAAACATGGGCTGTATTTATTCCAAATAAAACATAAGCAAGTGATTATGGATATGGATAGAAACAACTCCTTTACTATATCATTCCAGGAGAATCAAACGTCAATCACAGGGTCATCCAAATAAATTGCTCACAAATTTCAGTGCTATCACAACATTATATATTTTCATCCAGTTACACAATCAAGTAGTTACACAGGGCTTGGTCCTAAGAACTCATTGCATTCACACACCCAGTAAAGTACATGAAAGTTGCATGTGCAGAGAGTTTTCAGATTTAAACACACACTTCAGGAATTTTGCATTGTCTTTCCTAAAAACATGCTGATTTGTTATTCTTTTCATTCAAACGTCTCTCATTGGTAGCATTTAATTTTAGTGATTTTAAATAAACGTATTAGAAAACTTTAAGACAAAAAGATAATAACGTATGTTCATATTAATGCTGTTTTAAAACATTATTTGGTTATCAGTAAGGAAAAGCCGTATTTTTCACAGGGAGTTGCCTACCTTGACCTCCTCAGGGCTTCTTCATCTGGATCTTGCACTGCAGGCAAAAAAAAAACGTTTCCATTAAGAAAGGAAACAAAGAAAGGAATTGGCTTTATGTTGAAATTGTAAGTTCTTCAGAAACATATCAAAAGCCTATCTAGAGGTGCATTCATGCTGACTTTGCAGCAGTGGATTTTGTAAGAACAGCATGAAGAGGAGCAGTTCCCTAGAGGTAGCAAGAAGGATGTTAGTAGGAAAGTAGCTATTACAACTACTTTCTCATTCATTGATTAGCAATGTTTCACAGCTGTAGGCAACGATTCTACAGGGAGGGCCTGCTGATTTGTAAGAAAGCTTTAGAGGCAACAGCAGGTTCATATGAGGAGGAAATACTAAGTATTTCCCCAATGTGGAAAAGGTCTCTGAACTTCCTTCTCTCTAGATCAGAAATGAGATCTGAGGTTAGTACCAGGTGGTCAGAAAAACATTTCCATAGGCAACAAAGTTCAAGCTCCCATGACATTCATAGCAGATCTAGGTTTAGATAACAGGGCTGATGATCAAGAACTATAGGTTCAACACAAATGGTGATCCCATGACTTTTTTTGACCTCCAGAAGTCACTTCTATAAAAGACTGTTACAAAAGACTTAAGTTGTTAATCTTGTGTTCTAATGAATGGACAGCTTTGTCTAGGCTGTTGGAAAATGGAAAATTACACTGTGCAGATTTGATTTGTAAGTAAGAAGAACATGGGGTCTTAAATGCTCTTTTACTGTATAGTCTGTTACACTTTCATGGTGAGACTCCTGGCAGATCAAAGAATTTTCATCATAAAGCATAAGGTGAGACTGAACACTGATTCCCTAGGTCGCTCAAGTTACACCCAAGTTACACCCAATTTACACTCCAATCTTAGCCCTCACTGACAACGACTACAAGCTGGACATGAGTCTTCCTTGAGTATCAGTTGCTAATACTGGAGTAAGGAAATAAAGACATGAATCTACAACCAGGATAAGGGGGATGTTTTGTTATTTGACTTACTGTACTCCGTTCCAGTCATCTGGGCAAGGATACGGAAAGACCTAGACTGCAGATTGGCAGAACGGCGGCTCCAGTCTTCGGTTTCATCTTCAGGCTTGTTCTGAGTTTTAAGCACAGCCTGATACACCGGAGAGGCACTGTCTACGTGAGGATCTTTAAGAGGAAGGGTACTGCAATTCAGAAAGTGAAACATTGTGAAACAGCACATGGTGGCTTTCATCTCAACTTCTTTCTGGTCTTATAGCTTCTCGTCTAGAGTAACAGCAATCCAAAACACAGCTTTGAAAATACCACTTTTTTAAAAAAATACATAGATCAATTTGATGTGAATCAAGAATGTTATGGCTCATTCTGTCTTTGAAATGGCCTGTTATCATTCAGATCTGCAGATTCAAAAGAGTGTGAAAAAGCACAGAAACGTCTGCTCATGATTCCTCAGCCAATGCAGCCACAAGTTTATGGTGGTTAGAGTAATCTGTGGTGATAAAGGAGAGTATGCTAGGCAAAAACATTTATTTCTCTGAGCATTCTTGTCCATATTATTTCTTATAAAAATGGCTTCATGTTGATATTATTTTGTGTTATGTCTTGTTACAGTTTTGGGCCAGTGTATTTCAAGGTTTCAATTAGAAATAAAAAACATATTTCATTGTAAAAATAACATGATAGGCTTTTATAGTTTTCTCTGGAGATGATTATTCTTTGCCAAACTCTGGATTAAACTGCCAGCTGCTAAACTGCCAGCTGCCATAACTCTGGATTCATTGTCTACTAAACATGTGAAGCGTAAGAAGTCTAGACTTGCACTCAAGACTTGCATACATATTTTGTATCTGAAATCTTTAACAGCAGAATGTATCTCAGAGTCTTACAACATCTCTAATCACCTTGCAAAGGGATATATCCAGGACGAAACTTCCAATTTTGCACACCTAAAGTCAGAGATACGAAGCTCCGTAGCACAAGTGAGGTAACCTCTCTTTGATTTATGATGCAAGCTAGAAACAGACTCAGTAATTTAATAGCTTTTTTTTTTGGCCTGCGAAAATAACTTCTGCATAGCATACAGTTAAATATTAACAGAGCTGCAGAAATATACACTGAGGGGATGATGTGTGCTTGGAGTAACTTGGCTCCATGACTTCTCTAAATACAAGGTCTATTTTTGAAGCAAGTGATTTGCTATAACAGCTTTCACATGCTATTCCATATAGAGCTTTGCAAGCAGCATGCTCAACTTCATGAAAATTGAGAAATGGCTCTGGTAAAAGTTAAGGGCCATTTGGTCCAACTAAGTCACTGCTATAAAGTTCTGGGAGCAGTCACCTGCTATAAAAGTTGCTTCCTTGGTTCAGGCTCAAAGTTAGTCTTCTCTAAGATACCATTGCAGAGAAAATCTACAGAGAGTTTGGGTTTGTGATTTGAAAGCCTGAGAGGAATCATGTCAAAGCCAAGAAGCATGTCTGATATCCTACATACAGCAATAACATACACTGTAATAAAAAAAATATTACCAGATAGTGCCTTAAATATCAGTATTTTCCAGCTGACACACGCCTCTTCTTCAGCAATGCACAGTATATGCTGTTTTAATAGATCTGCACCTAACCATAGCATGGGATGTGTTCTTCAAGAAAGATGTATGCTTATGTACGTTACAGACCCGAAAGCACCCCATCTCTTTAGGATTTTTTTATTAGAGGAGTATTTATATACCTCATAAGCCTGGGTATATGCAACTTCTCACTTTCCTGAGGACCCAGTAGGGTACAAAACCCAGTTATTTTTCTTTCTTATGTTTCAGTACAATCATCTACGTGATGGAGCATAGCTTAGATAAAACCTGACTCTTCAGTTTAAGCTCTGGCACAAAACATTAAAGTAATGTAAAAAAGTCTCTCAGTGTGGAAGATGCTCTGTAGGAGGAAGCAGCATTTTCCAGCTCCTGTTTTAGCTCATGTTTCCTAGGCCGCTATCTTTATAGTACCTAAACACTAGCAGGTATGGAAGGCATAATGTGGACTTGTTTTGGGAAGGGTGTGCCATCAGTTGCTTCCACTATGTGCACCAATGGACAATGGAACAGAGATACTCTGTAATATCAGAAGTAAGTCAGCAACCCCCTTGTGACCGTTCTGCTGCCACTCCTCAGTCTTGGCTATGCTGAAAAGTGCTGTCACTGCAAAGGGTCCAGTTAAAGTTCCCCAAAAGGTGACCTCATTTTCAAGTTCCCAGAGGCCCTTCAGGCCTATGTCTTAGCACTGACTAAGCACACAGTACTTTGCCCTGTATTACTGCCATAGGTGACTGCCTGGTTTTGGCCCGTAGTTAACTTTATATCGCCAGACTTACTTTTTAATCATGCTGAAGCTTAAAAAACTGCTGTATATGATAGCAAATTTCACAGCTGCAGACAGCTGGAGAGTGGATAATAAACCACTGGATAGATAGTACTGCTGATTTCAACAGTGACAACTGACATTCAACTGACAGCAGTGGTGTGCAAGTCATGGACAGTTCAAATTCCTTTGTTTAAATCCTCTAGCTGAAATGCTTTGTTCTTCTGTTACGACCAATATACAAAAAAGCAGTTTAAAAGTGTATGTACAGATGTGTCATTAGCTCAAAGGTAGTTAAAAACCACTAGAGGCTGGACCACAAATTTCACAGTAGCAATGTGTGGCATTAATATGACATATTAATATCCTTATGGTAGATAATTAAGGCAGGAAATGGAGCTTGGTGAATTAACCTTCCCTAGCAGAGTGAAACATGCTCATATAAATTGAACTAAATTAATGCAACACATTGGAATATTTCCAACTCTGTCTTTAATGCAACAGGCCTTTTTCTTTTTTTAAAATCCTAATTATATTGTAGATGAGTAACTAGGACATATGAGCCACTCAGCATGGAAATGTAAAATAGAGCGCATCACTGATTATGAGCATGTCATAAACCTAAATGTGACAGTTGATTCTTACAGACGGGCTGAAGATGCACATAACCATGTTAATACCTCTGTTATACCTCTTCTTAACCTAATTTTTTTCCATCTGGGTGTGTTTGTGCAGAAATATCATGCATCTTTAAGCATATTACTTTAAATTGATGTTACTGAAAAAAATTCTTACCAAAAGTATTAGAACTTTTGAGGGTTTTTCATATTATAGCCTAAAATGTTTTAGTAGAATTCAATAAAAAATTGTCCCCCTTTTCCACATCATCATACAAGTCACACACTATTAACATTAAAACAAGCTTTAAAGACAGTCAAATCTCTTTGAATAAGTAGCAATGTGATTTCTTGGAGTTCATTATAAACTATGGTTTACCATGTTAATCACTCCCTGGAGTCATTATTCAGATTTAATTTAAGTGGATAATAAGTAAAAACTTAGGAACACTGCAGTGTTCTACCCCTGATGTAGAAATACTGTGACTTTGGATATGAGAGTGATTCCAACTATTACAGAAAGCTCCAAGAGGAAAAGAAAAAAAAAAAAAAAAAGAAAAAGAAAAAACAACAGTTCCTGCAGACTAGTAAATTATCCAGCCAAGTTGACTTACTGTAGAGGATACACAAGACTTTATTTAGTTTGTACAATCATATTATTGATTCTGCTACTAGAGCTATTAGATCTTAATTCTGATAAAGTTGTTGGATTTATGTCTACTTACGTGACTTTTGAATTTGGCTAAAACTGCAGAATGCAATTTAGAAGAGGTTTGATGGAAATGTACTGCCCACATGGCTTTACTGCAACCAACTCTTGGTTCTTGGTATAGCAAAATCAATTAAAACAAAGCAACATAAAGTGAGAAAAGATAGGAAGTCAGGGCATTCAAATTTTTCCACCTTTAAGTTCCAGCATGAGGTCTGAATAACTGCAGTATAAATAATTTATATGCTTTCCTTTGTGTTTTCCATCGTGATCCAGTACGTATAGGTTATTTTCTAAGTGACGTGAGCCTGATTCTCATCTCATTGACTTAAGTTAAAACATCACTGATTCCAAACGGTCAAACTAGAAAATGAATTCTTATCTTAAGCCTGTCTATTCTTCCTCATCAATAAAAGAAGCAAGCAGTGTTTCCAGCTATGGCCTGCCAAAAAGAACAGAAGCCCTTTAGATCTGCAGTCTGAGCATGCTTACCATCCATCTTACATACATACACCTTGTGGCCTCAGGGCTTATCCCTAATGTAAAATAAAAAGCCCAAAGAAGAGTAATTAAGTGCCGAGACCAAGTTATAGGCAGAGGATTAAGACAAAATGAATCAGTACATAATTTGGTCTGCTTTTATATGACAAACTTCTCACTGAAGTACTTCTGCATTAAGCATAATCTTATCTCAGACTTGATCAACAAAGCAAACGAAAGAACATCCTCAGTTTCCACTGCAAATTAAAGTTCAGAATATCACAGAGGTCCAAAGCAACACCATAAGGAAATGAGTTACAGGTTAAATCAAACGAATATCAGTCAATGGGTAGGCGTTATGTCAGAACAAACATTGCCTGTATATCTAGATTAAAACTGCTGTGTTAATTGTAATAAAACAGCCTACTGAGAAGATGGCTTAGTCGCTAAGTGTTATGAATTTTTTAAAAAAAGAAGTTACAAAACAGGCTGTAGCTCACAGCACAGTAGATTTAGAGAGTCCCTTGCACCTGACCGCACATAGGAATAGAAACATTAGTTCCTTCTGGGGCCAGGTGAATGTCAGGCTTAGGATCACTTTCCAAAATGAAGGAAAAGCTTAAATGGTAGTTTATACAGTGGATCTTGCAGAAAAACTTTCTCCGATACAAAAGGATAAATGGAAATCATCATCTCATTTCAAAAACACCCACGAAATAGGTAGATTCCATGTTCAAAACGAGAAAAAAAAAAAGAACAGAGCTTTTGCTAGTGGTGTTTAACACAGCTCTTGCTGCTACTGGTGCAGTGACTCAAGAGTCCATGAAAATCTATTTTTTATGTTGTATCAATGTATCCCTTTTTAGCTCTTTTCAGGATATATGTATTTACTAACATAATTCATTACCACCTTATGATTTACGATTCAAGCCTTTCTAATTATTCAGGCTCTTTACTTCCCAATTCTGCATGCTAAGACAAATCCCTAACCCCCCTGTAAAGCATGCTGATCTTCCAGTTCCAGTTTCACTCTTTGGACATCTCTAACCCTATCTGGGATTTTCTAGAAAGGGCATTTTCCTCTCATCACAACACTGTGTGTTTTGATCTCTTCCACAGGTGGGAAAAGATGATGATGTTTTCCAGTCCAGCAGAGCCACTTCTGTGATTGGAACTGCATTTGAGAGAGTCTTTTAATGTACTGTTTATAAAACAAAAAGGATTCATGTGCTCAACAGTGAAGCTTTATAATCATCTGATCATTTAAAGAGGTGAAATTTTTAAACATTACTATTTGCATTATATAATGTTACAGCATTTAGTAGAAAATGCCAATATCTCATAAAATGTCTCATATAATCCATGCCTATGAAAGATGTGAACCCTTACAAAGAACATAGAATGAACTTCTTTCATTGTACTTTGCTAATTGGAAATATGAGTCTGCTTACACCTATGGAGATTCACTGAGTCATGGTCAAAACCAACTAAAGATATTGTTTGAGATCCATCATTAGGGAGAGTTGTGATAAACAACAGAATAATATTGGTGCAAAAAATCAGTGGGGAAAAAAAAGAATTAAAAAAAGTATTTTAAAAAAGAGAAAAGAAATGGCCAGCAAAAGGAAGCGCAAGCAAACACAGAAAACATCTACACTTTGAATGAGCCTGCAGCTAACATATTGAAAAGAAACTATGTTGAAATGTGTTGCTATACCTGTATTTTAGCGTCACATGAAAAGAAGGTAAGCTCTATTTTGGTTAGAAAGATACCTACTAAGAGAGGAACCTGGCTACATTCATCACATATGTAATTTCGGTTAAGTCGTAACAATTGTGGATAAGTTTATGAGACAAGATTACCAGAAACATGCACTGGAAAAGCAGAATTATTAAAGATCAATGGATTTTACCACAGTCCAAAGGATATGCGTAAGACACATGTACAGTATGTAGTCTAAGGATAGGGATAATACAGCACAACACTCCATTCCGAAGAATAATTCTTCATGTATCAATAAAAATTCCACCCGCCCCTTCCCCTTCCCCATTCTGAGCGATGCATACAATACAGTGGTTATTATAAGGCATGGTCATCACAAATGAAAAGCCATCTGATGTCATACACAGAGCACTAGATATGTTTTTGTAGGGTTTACTAGTTCTAAGAAGAATACAAAAAAAGAAATGTTACATTTTCTAACTATCCATCCTTTTAACATCAAAATGATGAAGTGCTTTCAAACACTATCTAGGATTGATTTCTATTTTTCACGTGTAAGATACTCCAGAAAAAAGAGTCCAGGAAGAGCTGCCATGTCATGCACGTAGGGACTGTTAGACGTATCATGCAGAAAAGAGCATTCCGTGCAAGGAAATAACCTTACCTAGCAAATTCTCCACCCTGGGCTTGTGCCTGGCCTGCAATTGCATCCATGATAGCATCTTGGGAATACATGCTGATCGGGGTGTTATACTGGGCGTGAATTATAGTAGCCTTGCCACCTAGGCCTTTCACCTCAATGGGTTTGTGTGTAGACAGGGCAGAGTCCTTCAGAACATTGGGGTTGAAACGCTCCGTGAACTCCGTGCTGGGTTATGCAAGAGTGAGGTTCGACAGGGAAGGGAGGGGAAGAAAGGAGAAAGGCGTGACAGGTAAGTGAGAGAAAAAGCACCAACAGAGAGGAGTGTGCGTGTCTGTTCATGGCATCTCACCACAAAAGCTTCTGGTCAGAGGAGAAGAGACAACACAAGTAACAGTTAAAACTTGGCTGCGCTAATGGATGACTTTTCTGTGTTGACTCACAGATGTATAAAAGAGAAAAAAAGGTGAAACGGCTGTCATTGTACAGAGAAGTCATGACAAATCTCTAAGTATTTATGTGATACTTACATAACTTAAAATTCTGTTCTTACATGCATATATACATATAAGTGTATACAAACATACACACACATATATATGCATGCCCACGGACGTATATACATACTGCAGAGAATTCCCAGTTTATTCACTGCATCCATTCGTTCTTTCAGAAGGGTCTTACAAAGTGCTAGAAAGTGCAACGGGGTGAACAGACATCAGGTCCTCTATTATTTAGAAGGTTCCAGTACTTTCTGTCTGGATTATTAATCACAGTGAAATTTAGTATTTGTGCCTTTTAATCTTCAAATCTTTCCTCACAAAGGCTAAATTAATCTTCCCAAAATCTCTGTGCAGCCAGCCATAAGTGTTGCTATAGCAGGACAAATGCTCAGTCTCAGAGCAAAATATCCTACATTGCAATCAATGGGACAACTGCAGTGGGAAGAGTAGCCGCCATGTATTCCAGTGGCTCCATTAATGAGGAAGGGGTTTTATTTGAGAAATCGAGCCATAAGCAAGTTAACTGAGGCTCCCATTGCAACAGAGCGAGGCAGTTTAACGTCAGACTTCAACTAAAGAGCACCCGGCTTCCTTGTAGCACCTACTTGGGCATTGTTCTAGTCTTGGAGTTAGGACTGAGTATTGCCTGGAGTTTCAATGGGCAAGCCAAACCTCAGCTGTCGGTCACTGAAGTAGCTGTTCCTCTCTAATCTATGGGAGATCAGACGAATCTCTAGCCTGCTGCTCCTGTCCTGCCAGCAGTATAGATTCTGTATGCTCACCAAAATGGGCAAAAGTGAGAACTCTGTCCTTTGGGAAATAACAGATATTTCACAAAGGTTTCATTTTGAACCGAGCCCAAAAACTGGAAATGGATATGTATTCCCTGAAAAGAAATTTTAAAAAAATGTAATCCCGTTTGATTGGAACAACTTTTCAGTTTAAAACCATTACACCATAAGTACATCAGCTAATATCATCTTTAGCTGATGTGACTGAACAACAGCTTCTCTGGTTGGCAAGGGAACAATAGTGTGCCCGTCTGCCGTGGGTTAGCCCCAGAGGGTGAATGTTAAAACCAGACCCTTGACCCAATATGGAGGAAAAAGGAAAATCCAGTAAAGCTGGCAGCCATCTCACTTAATCTTCTGGAGATTATTGAAGGTGATGTACCACCTCTGAACCCAACCAGGGGATTCCACTCTGTTTTCAGCCTTTTGTTTGGTGGGATGCCCTGACTGAAGATGGACAGTGAGAGAAATACAGTCACACATCATTTGAAATACTTGGTAGAACATTAACAGCCACATGCTCAAGGAACAGAGACATAAATACGCACATGCTGTACAGCCACAGCCTTTAGTTACACACGTCAACATTATAAGGGAGGGAACTGAGAAGCTGCATTATGCATTCAAAAAGTGAAAATCATCTTTTTAGAAGGATATTTTTCATTTAAAATGTCTCGCCATTAACTATTCATCAACTATGACAGTATTATTTTTATACTGACATCATCTGTTGAAGGGTGATGTGCAGAGAGGTGCAGGTTGTTATACTCTTGACTTTTCAGCATGCGCATGCCTTACTTTAACAATGGTATCTCTTTTCTTTGTGATAGCCTAAATAATCACATGATATTTAGGAACACACAGGCCCTTGAGATCTTGAATTTAGTGTTCTCTTTCCCCTACACTGTTAAAAGTATTGAAGAGATTTTAAACCCAAGATCTGAGAAGATCGTGTGCATGAAAAGACAGATGTTAAATATGTCATTTTTAAAGCATGACGTTCAAAGCAATTGGTTTCCACAATCGATTGCACAAATAAAGGCTCTCACTTTTGGTATCTGAAGAGTTTCAGTGACATCTTTCAAGAGGTTTCAGTCACATTACAGATACCAAGGCAAAACTTTCACAGAAGTTAACAGGATTTCCATAAAAATAACAGGAAAGGGTACAGATTTTTCACTACAGACTTTTCTTTATAACTCTGGAAGTAAACAGAAGCCATTAGTGCTCAGAAGGGGTGCTGTGCTCTAGGACAAAGCGGCAGAGGTAAGACCCCAGAGACAGCTGGAGCACCTCTGCAAAACGAATGGGATTTTTCTACCAAGCAGAGAAAGGATCAAGAAAAAGAAATCCCAAAGCAAGTAAGATTAAAAACACCCCTATAACATGACTTCTGCTTTCCAAGACAATTGTAACATAATAATTATCAATGTAAATTGGCTAGAGTTTCATCACTCCAAAGGAGTTACATCATTTGCATGACATCACACCCACACCTCATTAATATCAACAAGAGAATGCCAGATCAGCGTAAATTATATGAATTAAATCGTATTTCAGCTTCGTATATTCTACTACTTCTTACCTTCTCTTGTCAGTTTAAATTTGATGTTTAACTAATATAATTATTTATTTTATGCTGAATTTAACCCAGTCTCTCCAGAAATCTCTGGACAACATTTAGTTCAGAGACAGAAAGCTGGAATTTAGCGACAATCCTCTGCCCTTAGATAACTAGAGATCAAAGCTAAGGACCCTGTGAACTTCCCTAAATAAAGCAGATCAATCACATTTTCAAATCAAAGTTGCTTCTTGTTTGGGCAATGTTTACTAAGGTAAATTACTTTTTAGATCTTTTCCACTTCAGTCTTTCAGACCAACCTAAATAGGAATTTTAGTGGAGTGGGACTCTGGAAATTAATTTAATGTTGAAGCTAAAAATACATCACTAGTAATACACCGAAAAAGGCTCAGATAAGGCTCCCCAAATCCTGAAGGCATAAAGACTACTTAAAGAGTTAGGAAGAATATTAAACCCAGACTTTAGAGGCAAAAGCATCTGAAAGCATTTGCAAGAGCTGAGCAAACTCAGATGCTAACTCATGTGCAGCATTAGAACACCACCAAGAAATACAGAACACGTGGTGGGAGCAGCACCACTGGACACCAGGGGCAGCCCATGATGCTTGCCATACCAATAAGATTTTTTAAAAATTACTTCTACTTGCAAGCAGACACAGCAGGAGCACAGGGGATCATGCTACCCCAGAAAACAAATCTTCACACATACAGCGTAACACAAATACTTGGCTCTATACAGAAGTGATACTAACTTGGCAGCAGTGTTGGTTATGACCTAAAAGAAGAGAAAGAGAACAAACATCGTCAAAACCAACCAAACAGAAAAAGTCAATCGTTTTTAAAGTGCACAGGGCAAAAGGTACTTACAAAAGCATACTAAAGCTTTTTTCAGACCATCTACAAATAAGCACAAAAAGTAAACGTATGCCTGAAAACCCCAACACGATTAAGGAAGGAAAAAATGCGGGGATTATAGTTGATCCACTAGGACTTAGTAGGGTACCATGGCATTTTGGCTGACCCTTGAACATGTTTTTATTGCTGTGCATCCTTAAAAGTACTATTATCAAAGTGTATGGGGGGAGGGAGTGGAGGGAAGAAAGAAGCATTGGCAGAGTATATTCTCATCTGAAAATAGCAAATGAGTGGTAGAGATTATATTCTTCCCTCAGATACTAAATATTCAGGGATGAAGTCTGTTGTCCTCAGGCCGCCCTCAGAGTTGGTATTGCAAGTTCAATTTTTTGGTCTTTCACATGCTGGAGAAGATCCAAAGAATATATTGGTAGATGTTTTAAATCTAAAACTAAGGAAAATGCCTTTGCATTTAACAAACCATTGGCCTAAATCTGACTGTACCTACATTATGCCAACAGTGTGTAAGCCAATTAATTTCAGAATAGTCATTCCTGATTTATTCCATATGAAATAAACCAAGTCTGTGCATTATGTGCTTTTTTGGATATCCATATCAGGATATTTTATTCCATCTGGTACGTACAGAGTATGAAAAAACATACGTTCATGCTACATTGTGCTTCGCTGCATAAACAAGAAGTGAGGGTGGCTTGCACAGTAATTCCAAAGAAAAACAACACAAAACTCAATGTAGGTGAGCCAAAGCTGGGAGAGACAAACAGATAACATGCTCAGACTGTAATATTATATCATTTGCTAATAAGTCTTTCTGTTGGTTGTACGAATAGCATTAATGGGCTATGACATTTATTTTAACTTAGTTTTTTCGAAGCTTAGAATACCCCTATTTTGCTCCTATATTCTTGGGTGAAGAGCAATTCATCATATCTTGCATGAAATAAAAAGGAAGAGAGTCCAGGATCAGTTAATAAACATTTCTTCTTATTTAGCTGCACAGAATGCTGTTGACAGAACTGGGTACTGAACCTTTTGATTTGCTGCTCTGACATTTCTGGATCTGGAATTGACAGAAAGTACTGGACAGCAACGTTATACTGTTAGAGTGACATTCAAAGTGGATTTGTCTCCTGCTTTTGCCTTGTGGAACCTTTTATTACTTCTTCTTTTTACATACAGTCCTTTTGCATTGGCTCATCCAGCTGCCTTTTTCACCATCAAAAACACTCTAATGAGCCAAAGCTGCAGTAAAGGCTTTGCACTTCTGCATTTCCATGGAAAAGCAATCACAGATCACCTTCTGCAGTTACTGCTCTTCAGACTCTCGGATTCAAGAATATTCTTCTTACTTTATAAACCCTACATTAAGCCAAATATATCAGTCTGTTACAGGAACCAGTAGAGATATATTAGGAACGAGCTGTAGCCTGTAAGCACATCAGTGATCCTGTATCCATTTTAGGTATGTGCAGGACAGCTGGGCACTCATTTACAACGAAACATAGTGTAATAGTATCATTTTCTGAAGTGGACTCTGATGCCTGCTTTACTCTTCTAATCTAGGCCTCTGCCTTACACATAAAATAATATTTTACAGGCAGAACTACCATCCTTAAAATACACCTTATTTAGAGGAACACTTGTTTGCATATAAAAATATGTTCAAATATAAAAATCACTGTGTGCACACACTAAGAACAGCTCAACAGCCACATCTCAGTTGAGATTTTTTAGATGTGAAGAGGCTATTACAGCTTCCTTCAAAACAAGTAAAGCTTTTCCTTATGTTTAGTACGTGATGAGAAAATTCTCTCCAGTTCAGAGCCATGCATTATTTTAGCTTGATTCTAAATATGGACATGTATGAAACACCCAACTTGCTGCTCACAGAGATCACCCAGTAAGAAGATGGTAACCCAAGCCACCTGGCACGTACTTGTAGGACAGGTATTTACTGCCCTTGACCTACAATGTGAAAAATAACTTGCACTGGAATGAAAAAGAACCACATGTTACAAGCTATGACTCACTCTTCGTATTTATCGGTACTCCCCTTTCCAAAGCTTTCAGCACATCAAGTTCCACGCTCTTAAAAGGCCACCTCTATTTTTCACCCTGGGCCAGAGTGATAAAGCTTTAACGTAAAAGTGTATCAGAGAAACAGAAGTTTTGTTATTCTGTGCAGATCAAGCAAATAATCTCAAAATTAATTTTAGGTTTCTGATAGGATTTTTCAAAGAGTTTAGCTAAACCTCTACCAGCAATTCACACAATCAAGTTTAAATTATTTGGTGAAAAGGACACCAAATTGAAATATGAAATATATCTTAAGATCAATCCCCAAATCTGAATTTTCTTATTGTTTTCACCACACTGCTAAGTGCGTGTTCATGAACGCATAATAAATTCACACTTTTGGAGCACTGTAATCTCACAATCTGTATGCAACATCTCATGTTGTACTATGTGATAAGAATGTGCACAGCAAAGCCAGAGCTGATTTCGCAGAGCTCACAGTGCATTCCTTGTGCACCCTTTCACATATATCCACCATGAGATCGAGACTATCACGGATGATACCAAGTCCCAAGGCAGTTACAGATTCCATGTTACTCTCCACAGAGCAGTAGGAAAGACGCCTCTCACTTCATGGGTAACACTCAAGTGGGAGTGGGAATGACAGGATTTGTATTTTCTCTGCATGTAAACAGAAATGTCCAATTCTCTAAATCTCAGAGGAATTACCTGAAAAGACATGTGTACTTAGTACCCCTCTGGGCTCTTTCATCTTTTCAGATTGTTCCTGGGCTGCAGGATAAAGGCTGAGTTTTTTTAACAGAACATTTAGATGATTTCTCAAATTTTCTTATTTGTTCATCAGTGCTACAGATGTTACAGGCAGAGAGACAACACTTCCTTAAAAGTTTGTTCAAACTAAAAAAAATAAATCTCAGGTGGTTGTTCTAAGGTAGAACCTTGCTTTGTAATTCAGTGCACTGCCACAGGCACGCACTAACATGTGTATGTATAAAAGAGACATAAACCAGGGAAAAGCAGCAGAGAGAAGACGCTGAAGTGTTTTGTGCAGGTACACCTTTTTTGCATCCCAACAATCACTGTCATATTACGTAGTCATAGCAATGCCCTCTGGAATCAACAGAATCTTTCACATTTTCTTGGATGAGTGATGGATGCAGCTTTGTCGTAATTTCGATAACAAAGAAATAGCCAGAATGCTGAGCCATCCAAAATAAAGCCCCTTCACCCTCGCCCTTACAGATGTTAAGCAGGGTTGTGAAGATAGTGGGAGAAAGATAGTGAGATATACTCGAAGGAAACTCTGCATATTGAAATAAGACAAGGATTAGTTTTCCTCAAGAAAACGATAAATTAAGAGAGAAGCATTCTTAGGTTTATTTTGCTGATCTTGCTTACTAACTGGAATTATTCTCTTTCACACACTAACTGCCTTTCTTAATTATCCAGTATGAGAAGGGAGGATAGGATTTTTTTCAGGTAAGTTAATTAGGACTGTTAATGCCGAGTGCTCAAGAGAGTTACAATGAATCATCTAAACCACTTGAATCATCGAGAACCTCTATATATGCTCTGTTATAAGGATAAAATATCCTTACTTTGATGCAACTTAAAACCCCTGGGTTTTACTCTTGTGAAGAGCTTCTGCAGTGGGATGTGAAGTACTTGAAAATATACTTTTGTTATCAGAATTCGGGTGGATTGTCTGGATTTTCTGGTTTTCCTGATACAGCCAAGTCCCTAGTGTCAAAAGTATGCTTTCTCCTACATTCACAGTAAGAAATTTATCTTCGCTTTAAATAAACACAAATGTACAAATTAGAGAGTTGTTTGCAAATTAATACACGAAGGCAGAAAAATTAAGAAAGCCTGTTTCTCATTGCTTTTTCTCAGGTATTCTAGTCCAAGCTCCTCTCTTCACAAACCTACTAGTAAAACAGCTGATCTTCAATACAGTAACACTGAAAACCCTGACAGCATGGGATCAAACTATCAGGGTAGTATCTAGAGATCATTCCTTGTTATATACAAGTTAAAAGCAAAACTAACGGATGCGAGACAGACAATATTCAAACCAGAGGATTCAAAATATTGCAATTTGGACTCATTTTGCATAGGAAAGCCAATACATTAAGGCAGGAATTATAGCGGGGTGCTCCAGTGGACTAGCATGTCAGATTTGCTGGTCGAAGCAATTTCTCTTTTGGAAAGTACCAACGATCAGATTTGTTCTACAGCAGCTTCTGTAACGGCCGACAGTGATACTTGGTTCTATGACACTGCATGCATTAGTGTAAGTCACTAAATGCCAGAACCCTGAGATGATCACCGTTACTTCAGTCATAGAGCGCCTCCTCATGCTCTGGTGACTATTGCCAATCCGTACTGCAATTAGATACCAAAGACCAAGAGTTATTCTGTAATGGTACTGAGTGTATGTTTTGGGGGGTACTGGAAAATTTACTGATTGTTCCAGACCTTGATTACCAGACAAATGCACAATAGGGTAGGTACTGTTACATTCATTTTTCAGCAAATTCATTATTTATTGAAATATGAAATATTTTACCATGTTACCTACCCTCTAGGAAGTCCACCTTCCGAAGCCCTTCGGTTGAGACTTAATTTATGCATCTCAGCCATTTCCCTTAGAGTCTCTGCTGAGTAAAGGCCAATAGGGTTGTTATACTGCCTTGCAGGGCTCAGCTGGTGTAAAGGACTATTGCCATCAGCCAACACAGGGCTTAGTTTTGAACCTAGATTGCTCTTTGCAGGTGAAATGTCAGGAGTCACAGACTGAGAGGACATGGAAGATCTAACTGTGGTAGTCTTTAAGTAGGAAGAGCTATTTGAAAAGCTGAT